CCCTGTCCTCGGTGCGGGTGCCCGGATCCTGTCCTCAGGACCCAGAGCCCCTGAGCCAGCCCATCACTGTGATTCCCTGCAGCAGAACGTGTCTGTTCCAGTAATTCTGGCCTTTGTGCTCCACTCAGAAAACACAGCATCTTTGATGCAAACACTTAAGAAACAAGCCTTTCCACACCCATCTACCCAAGTGCTCTGGTTTTGAATAATTCTTTTGAAGTGGAGTCTAAATATATACAAATAGATATTTCCGAAATGCCATGTATTCTGAATGCATTTGCATGAGAAGCAGGTCCTGAGAAAGCGGGTAGGGGCCCGGGGCTTCTGAGGGGCGACAAGGGCCCCAGTGGGGCAGAGGGATGGAGTCCCACAGCCACGAGCGCACCCTGCACCCCGGGAGCCCCAGGTGGGGGCCACTGCCCTTCTCTGAGCTGCTGGGACCTGGCCTGTGTGCGGAGGGGGAGCCCTGCAGATGGGAGGGCGGGGGCCTCACGCCGCCTCCCTGGCGCCCCGCCCCCTCCTCTGATCCCCACCCTGGGCCTCCCTCGGGGCCCCTGCTGCTGGAGAGGGGCCCCAGGGTTTCTGTTTGTTTGTTTCCCAGCCTCTGTGAGGAGGCACCTGGGCCCCACGCGACGCTCGTGTTCAAGGCCGGGGCCTGAAGGGCTGGTGGGAAAGTGTGTTCTGGTGTCCGGGCCCCGCCCCTCGGTGACATTGACCAGAAGGTGAGCTCCTGGGACAATGGCCTCGGTCCCCTGGGGAGGGAGGCACTGTCCCCTGGGGCTGTGCCCCAGCACCCCGTATCCTTAGTAGAAGGGGTTCAGGCAGAGGGGACACCTGTTGGGGGCCACGGGACTGACAGCCCAGTGCCCACCCCTCCTCTCACTGTGGGCACGGAGCGGTGCCTGTGGAGCCTTCCTGGCCCCATGGCTCCATGGCGGGGCGGCCGCGTAGCTCCTCTTGCTTGTGCTCCCGTCTGCCGCCGAGTTCAGTGCGGTCGTCGGCCACAGGTCGCCCGTCTTTGAGAGCCCGAGGGGGAAGGGGCAGCCGCTGAGCGGGATGACAGGGGCAGATTGTGTGCAGAGGGACACGGGGAGCTGGGGCCTCATGCAGCGAGGAGCATCTGGGAAGCCATCCCGGAGGCGGTGGCCGGGGAGCGGGTCATGGAGGGTGAGCAGGAGTTCTCTGCGTGTAGAGTGCAGATGGTGGAGGAGGAGGCTGTGCCAAGGGCTCCACTCTGGGGCTCAGTGGCTGGGGCCCTTCTGCGGCCAGTGAACTGAGTCACCGGTCCCCACACCGGGGTGCTTCGGGCCCCGCACAGGCAACACTAACTGGGCCCCCGTCCAGAGCGTCGCTCCAGGCAACTGGAGCCCCGCCCCCAGCCCACCGGCCTCCCCAAGTGCTGTTGTTTCCGAGAGATCAGTCACAGCAGACAGCTGGCTGGGCACCAGGGTGTGGGGAGCGAGGCTAGGGACAGGTACAGCGCCCCCTCCTGGGTGCGGAGGCAGGACCGAGGACCCCCACTGGCCCCCACCCGGCCCCAGCCCCTGTCCTTGCTGCACCGTCTCCCTGCTCCTGGTCCTCGGGCAGCTTTGTCCCCATGCCACTCCTGGGCTGAGGACGAGCTGTCGTTCGAAGCCTCAGCGTTTGTGTCTCTGAAATGGGCATTTGGGCCCCTTGCCGGCTGTTCCCGGGGTCATGGTCAGGGGCCGGGCCCAGCACCCTCCCCAGAGGCCCAAGATTGGCACCACCAGGACAGGGCTGTTGTGTGTCTCGGAGCGTCTGCGTGGAGCCTGGTCCCTGGGGCCTTGTGACAGTCCCGAGGGAGCGGGACCAGCCACCGGGTTGGGCGGCTCCCAGGGCGTGGCCCGAGGCCCCTGCTGCCCAGACGTGTCTGGCGCAGGCGCTCAGGACCTTGGGGCCATCACTCCCCAAGGTCAGAGGAAGACGGGGACCTGTGCGCATCTGTTAGCTCAGGTGACCAACTCCTCAGACGGGGCAGCGGGATGGGGGACAGTGATGGCCTCCCAGCCCCGGAGGCCGGGAGTCCGAGATCCAGGCGGCAGCGGGGCTGGCTCCTTCTGAGGCCCCCTGGTGAGGGAGAGCCTGTCCGGGCCTCTGTTCTTGGCCTGCGGGCAGCTGTCCACCCGGTCACATGGTGCTCTCCCTGTGTCCCTGGGCCCAGATGTCCCCAGCTCATAAGGAGACCAGTCACATTGGGTCAGGGCCACCCTAGTGACCTGGCTTCCACTGAGTCACCTCTGCACAGGCCCCTCAGCAAGGGAGGTCCCATTTTGGGGTGCTGGGGGCTAGGACTTGAACCTATTTTAGGGGACACAGTCCAACCCACAGCACCGATAGGTCAGGTCAGCGTCATGGTGGCCCCACAGCACTCTGTCCGGTGGCCGCTGGCACAGGGAGTGAGGGCTTGGGGGGCGAGGGCACTCCCCCAGTGCAGCGGCTGTCCAGGTGCCTGACCGTCCCTCCATCCCTGGGCCCCGCCTGTAGCAATGGCCCCGTGAACATGGGCCAGCACTTCGCTCCTCCAGACACAGGGACACTTAACAGCAGATCTCACCCCCCAGCAAGGAAGCCTCCCCCTCGCTTTCCCAGGTCACCGATGGGGCCAACGCATTTCCATCAGGAGTCGGGGAGGTCAGCCTGTGAGTGGTGGCTGCCTGCCCCCGGGGCTGGCGGGGAGCTGGGGAGGGGCACCAGTGCCCATGTCGGGTGCTCCTGGAGGACGGAGACGTGGCCTGTGCCCCCCTCAGGGGCCCTGGGCCCCTCTGTTCTTGCCTCCCACTGCTGGGAACCGACCTGAGATGAGGTCTGTGATGGGGGTGGCAGAGGGGCTTCCTCCCTGGGTGGGGGGCTGCAGGTGCTGGGTGGGGACAGGAGCGGAGAAGCTGGTAGGGGCTCTGCCTTGTGCCCGAGGGGAGCTGGCCGTGCGCCGGCTGCCAGCGCCTCATCAAAGGGCTGTCCCACCTCCACCATATGTCCCAGCCCGAGCATCTGGGGGCCCTGGGCCTGCCTGTCTCCGCCAGCCCCACCTCTTCCCCTTGAAGCCTCTGCACAGGCCCAGGCTGCTGTTCGTGCTGGGGTGGGGAGGGGGCTGGAAGGGTCCGGCTTTGCTGCTTATAGGTTTGGGGGGGCCCTGGGAAATGCCCTCCCCCTCCCCTGCAGGTGACGCCCCTGCAGGTGACCCATCCTGTTCCTCTTAGGGTCACTCCAGCCACGGCCCCTCCTCTGCTCCCGGGGCTCCCAGCGTCCCCTCCCGTGTTCACCCTAGGGTGCAGGGTAGAGGGGCCAGGCCTGAGTGTGGGTCACACAGCCAGCACGAGCTGGCCCAGCACGAGGCTTCAGCCAGCGCCAGGTCCCAGGAAGGTCGATTGGGACCAGGCTGGGCAGGTGTGGGTACAGCCCAACAGGCAGTGAGAGCTGGACACTGTGGGGGCCTGTTGATGGGAGAAGCCGGGACACGCCCAGGTCACACGGTCAGGCCAGGGCGGCTGCAGGCATCTGACTGTCCGCCCACCCGTCCGTGAGCTCCTGGACGGAGCTGGTTCACTCTGGGCCTCCCGCCCTGGCCCTCCGTGCCCCTCCCCCACGCGCCGGGCCCCTCTGCGCAGCGGTATGACTCAGGACAGCAGCCCGTCTGGCCGAGCCATCTGTGAAGCCAGGGACAGGTCCCACAACCTCTCTGAGCCCCACGTCCTGGCCTAGAGCGCAGGGCTGGGAGGCGGGGCTGTTCTGATGATGGTCACGCTTCAGGCTGATGTGTGGGTCCCTCCCCAGTGGGTGACACTGAGGCAGCCGAGGGGCTGGTCCTCCCACCAGCTCCAACAGATGAGACACCATTCGGAGCAGGGCCTGTGTCCCTGCCCCAAAACCCTCACTGCGCTCCATGCTCCACCCCCACTTCACAGCTGCCTGGAGAAGCCGGTGGGCGGGGCGTGGGTGGGTGGGTGAGGGCACGAATGAGCGAGATCTTTGATGGGGGGATGAATGAGCAGCCGTGACATCCACCTAATGACTCAGGTGGTCAACCTGGGGGCTCACCCTTGACTTCCCTACTTTACTTCCCTTGAACATCTGGTTACAGCCGGTTCTGAGGATTCCCTTCCTCCCCCTCGGTCATGCCCCTGCCCCCTCTGACCCTCCCTCTGCTGCTCAGGGCCTCACCTTTCATGGGTCGGCCTTCCTCCTGAGTGGCCCCCTGTCCGGGTGTCCCACCTTTCCCAGCCCACCCTCCCGTTTGCACCCCAGTGGCCTTGGCACTGGCGCTCCTGCATGCGCCGATCCCGCTCACAGTTTCCCACGGACTGGCACAGCAGCTCAGTGTGGGCCTCTCTGTCCCCTCCCGCCACCCACCCCCACTCCATGGCGTTCCCAGTGAAGCTCCCGTCTTGCGTCTTGCTCCGGGTCTCCCTCGATCCCTTGCCTCCTGCTTCCCGGCCTAGCTGTGGAGTCCCTGCTGCCCCCTCAGGATCCGCGAGAAGCGTCTTGTTCTTCACGTGGCCCCTCAACCCCTCCCTGGTGAGGGCCCAGCACAGAGCTGTTGTGTTTTGTCCGCAAGACCCTGATGCTGGAGCCCGGAGCTGGCCCGTTGGTAATGGCCGTGGTGACAGACAGGAGCAACACAAAGAGTGTCTGGTGACGGTGACACGTCTGGGACTTGCCGGACCCCAGACTCTGCACCCCACACATGCCATCTCGGTTAAGGCTTTCAGGGCCCCTCTGCAGTCTGTGGCGTCACTCTGTGCAGGGCGGTGATAAGACCCCCCAGCCTGACGTGACTGAACCACAGCGGGCCTGGCTGCCTCTGGAGCCCGGCCCACCCCCTCCCTGCGGCCTGGCCCAGGGCTGTGCTCCAGTGAGTGTGTGCCAGCCCGGTGTGGGCCCAGCCGCCTGCGTGCCACCATCCCAGCAGGCGCGAGCCGAGTGCCCCCCTGGGATGGGAGGCTGGGGCCGAGGCACAGCAGCAGCCTCTTTCTCTCTTCCAGCTCCAGAGACGCAAGATCAAGTGCTACTTCCTGTCAGCTGGAGTCACTGTTCTGCTGGTCATCGTCCTCATCATTGCCACCTCTGTCCGAAAGTGATGCCAACGTGGTAAGTGCCTACCTGCCCCCACATCATCCAGCCCTCCATCATCAACTCATCTGTCTTTCCATCCATCCTCATTTCATCCCTCCAACCACCCCTCCTTGATGTGTTACCCATCCTCCATCCATTCATCATCCATCCATCCATCCATCCATCATCCATCCATCATCCATCCATCCATCCACCCATCATCCATCCATCATCCTCTATCCATCATCCATCCATCCATCATCCGTCTATCCATCCATCCATCCATCCATCATCCATCCATCCATTCATCCACCCACCCATCATCCATCCATCTGTCCATCATTCATCACCTGTCATTCATTCATTCATCCATCCATCATCCCTTCATCCGTCATCCTCCATCCATCCATCCATCCATCCATCCATCATCCATCCATCATCCATCCATCCATCCATCCATCCATCATCCATCCATCATCCATCCATCCATCCACCCATCATCCATCCATCATCCATCCATCCATCCATCCATCATCCATTCATCCATCATCCATCCATCCATCATCCATCCATCCATCCATCCATCCATCCATCCATCCACCCATCATCCATTCATCCATCATCTACCCATCCATCCATCCATTCATTCACCCGTCATCTATCATCCATCCATCCATCATCCATCCATCCACCCATCATCTATCCATTCATCCATCCATCCACCCACCTTTCCTCCTCTGTGTCAGGTGACTCAGCAGTGACTAGGGTCGTGCCCAGTGTGTGACCAGTGCTGGGGCTTAGAGTCACTGGGGTCTAGACTGAGCCTGTGTCAGGATTGGACCCCCTTGGTCCTGGTGGCATCTGGGACAATATAGGACAAGCCAGCCATCCCCGGTCTCCATGCTGGGCCCCCCTTTCCCACTCAGGGAAGGTCAGCTGTTTCCAGAAGCACCTCAGGCCACTCGCATGGTGAGGAGGTTGCAGGTGAAGGTCTCAGGTCAGGCTCAGCATGCGGGACAGGGACAGGTGTCCCTGTGATTCTGAGTCCCTGCACTGCTGATGTCTCCTGTGAGTCTGGAGAAAGAGCTCTGTCCTGCCAGCTTGGCTGTGAGCCTCAGGGTGAAGTCCTGGCTTTGTGTCTCCGGCAGGTGCAGCCGGCTCACAGCTGCATGGGCTGGGCGGGCGGGCAGAGCAAGGCACAGTCACCTGGTGTGAGTCCCAGCTCTTTGGGGAAGGAGCTGGTGGAACCTTGTAGAAGGGGGCAGTGCTTGGGAAGTGGGGCCCCCTCCCCACCATCCTGGGTGCACGGCTGCAGCGTCCGTGCCCTCACAACCTCTTTCCACGTCAGACGTGGTGGCCGTGGACTTGTCTGTGGGCCCTGCAGGACCAGGGCTCCCGGTGGTCACCAAGCACGGCACAGGACGCAGGACGCGGGGAGTGAGTGGGAGCCTGCCCAGGACCCTGCTCCCTGCCAGCGTGGCAGGCTGGGCCTCTGTGCAGAGGCGAGCAGGGTCCCGGCGGGAGTCAGGGAGCAGTTTTCACGCGCATGGAGATGTGAGGGGCCCTGTGGGGCTCATCACATGTCGCGGTTTAGTTTTCTGAGAGTTGGGGAGCATCGGCCTCAGGGCCGTCGGGGGCCACGTGGGGAGCCTCCTCCCATGTGTCTACATGTCTGCATGTCTACACACGTGCACATGTGTGCCTGCACCTGCACGCATGTTGTGTCCGAGTGACTGCACGGGTGTGCACATGGGGCCGGAGGGAGGGCAGAGCCTCTGTTGCCCGCCCCTCCCCCTGTAATTGGATGAATGAAGGGGCTGGAGCGTGCCCCCCCCGACCCCCGGAATGGCAGGAGGCAGCTGTGGTCACTGTGAGTGTCTTCCACTCACCCAGCACTCAGTAGGGGCTTCACGTGGGGGCTGCCTCACTCAGCTGCCCCCGCCGGCCCACGGAGGTGCAGGTGGGGGCTGGTGGGAGGACGGCGCGGGCACTTACTCTGGAGAGGGCTGTGTGGACCCCTCGTCCTTCCGCAGTTGGGGCGTCAGAGCAGCTCTGCTGGCCTTCAGGGCCCCCCTTAGACGCAGGGGCCCGGTCCCACCCGAAGCGCGGACACGGAGGGGTGTGGACACAGAGGGGCGTGGACATGGAGGGGCACGTCCCCGGCGGTCCTGGCAGAGAAAAAGGGTTTTGCTGTGGAAACAGAGGGTTCAGTGGGACCGGGCGGAGCCCCTGGGGCAAAGCCTGCCACACAGGCATCTGAGAATCGGGGTGCACTTGGCCAGAGCCCCGCCGATGGTCTCCCCACCCAAAGCAAGCAGTTTTGCTTCCGGGTGCTTCTCAGTAATTGCAGTAACAAATTGAATAATTAAGCTAAGTCCACAGAAGATAATGAAATATTAATTGCCAATAAGCTATGAAGAGTGTGTTGCCTGCGAACACCAGCAGAATGTGTGTGCACAGGATGCTCCCCCGTCCAGGCCCCTCGAGCCGGCCCGGGGCCCCCGCCCCGCAGGAATGACCCTCACGCAGCCGTGGTCTGGGGCGAGGCGGTCCCAGAGGCCACATGTCTGCTCTGGGCTCTCCCTGGTAGCTGAGCTTCCCCACTGAGGGAGGGGCCCAGGGCCACTGGGCAGAGTGACGGGAGGAGACAATGACAGCGTAAGGGACGTTGACAATAGGAGGGGTGGGCAATGTCCTCCAGGGCCCTGGTGGGTCAGGCCCAGGCAGGACCATCCGGGGAGGACAGGCCGGGCAGGGCTGGGGGGCATGGGCAGGGGCAGGGGCCGGCAGGGCCTGGGTGGGAGCTGACCAGGGCTGGGAGAGTCCACGCTGGCGCGGTTGGCCACAGGACCCGCCCTCTGCTCTGTGACGAGGGCCCACCACCCCGGGGCCCACCCAACGTTGGCCTGTGCAAAGGGCAGCAAGGACAGGCTTGTACCTTCTGGCCCCCAGCCTGGCCACGGCCCCAGGGCAGCAGGCGGGAAGGAGCCGGGCTCGGGAGCCCACACCGGCCACCGGGCCACCCTGCTGTTCCCAGCCCGGTCTGGAACCCAAGGCTCCCTTCTCAGTGGCAGCTGATGGAGCTGTTGTTTTGCAGGTTGGTGCTGCGGCCCGGCCTGCGCAGACCCAGGAGAGCCCTGTGCCCGCCGTCCCCCGCCCAGGCGCCGACCTGCCGCCTCCGCACCGGCCCGGGCTGAGCGGCCCTAATAAACTGCCTCCGCGTGACTGCATCCGTCTGTGGCTGGGAGGCTTCTTTCAGGCTCTGGTGGGGGGCAGGGTGTGTGAGTGGGAGTGTGCGCTGCGGGGGGATGCGACTCAGGTGTGAGCTGGAGGTGAGGGTGGTTCGGGGCAGTAACCTGCTTCGGGGCTGGCCTGGCACGGGGCCTGGCCCACCCTCTCCTGGGAGGCCCAGCCCCTACCCTGGAAACCCGGGTGGGGGGCAGGGCAACTCCGAGGCCCCTGCAGCCTGAAGCCCTGTGTTCTCTGCCTCCTGCGGCCCAGCTGGGGTGGGCCAGGAATAAAGGGGTCCTGGCAGGGAAGCCCCTGGCCTGGGCTGTCCCCAGGCTCCCCGATCCTGCAGCGGTGAAGGAGTTGTGGAGGAGACGCCCCTAAACAGGAGGAGGGCAGAGAAACCCCTGTGGGCAGACAGGGCAGGAGGCAGCCTCTCTCGATGGGGGAGGGGCTGCTCGGCAGGCAGACTGAGGTCCCCACAAGCACAGCGCTGAGGGGTCACCATCGACCATCTCAGGTCCCCACAGAGCTCGAGACCTCACTGGGGGAGGGAGGGGGAGTCCCCTGGGGACCCTTGTTCCAGAAGCATCTGTGGGGTGCTGCTTCCTGCTAAGGGGTGGGCAGGAACACATGGCTCCTCCCCCCTGCAGCCCAGACCCCCAGCCCGCTGCTGGGGGGGGGCATCTGAAATCTCTGGATCAGGCTGTTTTGTCCCAAAGGCTGCTTCAGGGTCTCAGAGCTTCTGCGAAGCCCTTTCTTCCCCAGGGGGGGCCGAGGTGTGGGCCGCGCAGCCTGGGTGGGTGTGGGGGCCGCCCCCCCAGTGTTGCCGCTGCACCAGCTGCCTGGCCGGGGGCCGTCTGAAGCCGGTGCCAGGAGCAAATTGGATTCCACACCTCCTGGCAGGTGCGAGGGCCGCGGCTGCTGGGCACCTGAGCCCACGGGCTGGCTCTGGGGGGAGGGCTGTGCAGAGGCAGGTCTGGCCCTGGATTTGGGGGTGGGGCCAGTTCTCTCCCCTCACTGGGAAGCCCGAGAGGTAGGGGCACAGGGTTGGGGTCCCATTGAAGCCCCCGCACTGGGGCTGCAGCCCCCACTTTCCAGAGGAGGATGCAGTGCGGAGAGAAGGGGGTTGCCTGCGGGGATGCTGCCGTCTCCCCTCAGCTGTGTGACCTTGGAGGGAGTGGGGGGCTGGCCAGCCCCCTGGTGTGACACACGGGGCTCCGAGCACCCCACAGGCCCTCCCGTCAGCACTTCTCGGAGGCCCTGCCTGGAGCAGCTGTTCGGGTGAGGAGTTCAGGCTGGTGACCGAGGGCAGCGTGGGGCCATCAGGCAGGTGCCTGGGCAGTGCTGATGTCAGCAGCAGCTGCCACTGCCTTGCTGGACTCAGCCTCCCGACTCCAGAGCGCGGTGTCCAGGCGACCTTCAGAGCCGCCGTGTGGCTGTCAGCAAGGCCTAGGGCCATGTGGGCCAGGGGCCTGCCTGGCCGGGGCCACCGGTAGGGGCACAAGACAGGACAGGTTGATAGGACCAGCTGTAACCTCAGTGCCCCTCCCGGGACCGTCAGGGCTGGTGGAAGGACCCCTGTCCCTCCTTCTCCTGGGAAGGCTCAGGGGCACACGTGGTTTCTCCACAATACGAGGCGCAGCTGGCCAGCAGGGCGGGGTTAGAAGCATCTCCTTGTCCCCAGGCCAGATGTGACGGCAGGAACCCAGAGCTTTGCTGGGATTGCTGAACTTCCTTTTCGGGGAGGCTGGGGGGATGGAAGAACCTTCTGGGCTTTGGCACATGGCAGGTGGTCAGAGGTGAGTGGGCAGCGGGGACCCGGCCTCAGGCTCCCCCGTCCCTTGTCTTCCTCAGTCTGCATCCCCTCCGCTGCCCCGGGCCCTGGAGGAACCGTGGAAGCCAGAGTCTCCAGGCCCCGGTTCACACCCCGCCCTCTGAGCCTTTGATTCCTGCTCTGTGCCTCGGGGGCCGGGAAAGCCTCCACCAGGAGGGGGACGGGGGACGGCCCGCAGAGCCTGTGGTCCCGTTGCCGTCCCACTCTGGCTGGGCCGGGTTCCCACCTGCTCCAGGAGCCCATGAGGACCCTGCCAGGGGACCCTCTGCCCAGGAGCGGCTGGCGCTTAGGGGCCCTGTGGTTATGACCGAAGAAGACCTGCAGTCTTGGCTGTAGCTGTCAGGATTCTTCCCTGGGGGTGGGACTCGGGGCTGTGGCGTCCTCTGCTGGACACCAGGGGGGCACAGCTGTGCCCAGAACGCCCTCAGGCTCCATCCCCCCTGAACCTCACCCCCAGCCTCAGGCCTCCTGGCCTTGGTCATCGGGCCCAGCACCTGGTTCCTGGCTCCATGCCCTCCTTGCCTGTCAGCTCAGTGGCACCAGACAGGTGGCTGCCGCAGCCCCTGCTGCCGCAGAGCCAGGACTCACTGCCAGTGGTGACGTCCCTGCCCTGGGCGGCCCCCGTGGCAAGGTCTGCACGCACCCCAGGCTCAGGGCGGCCCCTCTGCACAGGGCGCTGTCTGTGGGGGCCTTGGAGGGGTCTCGTGAGGCTTTGCGGGTGGGCTGCTTCGGGGTGAGGGGACCTCGAGCCCTGTGGCACTTGGCGTTGCTTTGCTTCCTTGGCTTTGAAACGGCGTTTGGGGTGGAAGATAAGGCAGGCTCTGGAGGCTCAGGCACAGCAGTTCTTGCCAAGGGAAAACAGCCACTTGTCCTTAGTAGGTTAGAGAGGTCCATGAGCCTTTTCAGTGTATTCAGGCAACTGTCCACCCATCCACCATCCATGCACCCCCCCCACCCATCCACCCACCCCCTACCCATTCATCCATCCACCCACCCATCCACCCACCCCCTACCCATTCATCCATCCATCCATCTGTCCATTCATCATCCACTTACCCACCCACCCCCCCCCCCCTCCGCCCATCCATACCCCCCCCCCCCCCCAACACCCACCCACCTACCCACCCATCCACCATCCATCCACCCCCCCACCTATAGATCCATCTTCCTACCCGTCCAACCCCCATGTACTCATTCACTCAAGCACCCAGTCACACCCCCCCCCCCATCATTCACCCATTCATTTCTTCTCTTGGCAGCTGCATGTTCCCAGTGCGCCCTCTCGCTGGGCTTGGTTCAGGACGGAAACCAGGACCCCTGCTCCCCAGGAGCTCCCCGTGTGGTGGGGGTCCCGCGTGCAAACAGGACCCATTGCCAGCTCTGGGTGCACAGCGGTGAAGTCCACGGGAACAGGTGGCACGGAGCAGGCGTCCAGGTGTCTTCCGAGGAGGAGGAGGTGCCCCCTGGCCCGCGGGCAGCGGCCTCTTGCAGCCCAGAATCCCGGGCTGCCCTGCAGCATCCGAGGCCGCCAGCCCACTTTGGCCGGAAGTGCCCGGCGCCCCCTCAACCAACCTCTGCTCCCTGCCCCTGGCAGGTCTCCAATTTAAATACCCAAATTGTTTACGTGTTGAGATCATTTGACAAGGGACCATCTTGTATTTGCAATTCAATTGACTATGATACACTGTATTACAATTACAGCTCGAATGGATTTCTTTTTAATTTATTTTTCTCTTAACGCTCTCCTCCATGGTAATTCCGAGACTAATTGTGCTCACGATCATCCTCGGCAGTGAGAAGGATAATGAATTGTCGCAGAATCTGCGGCTGACGCCGCCTGGCCTCCAGGGCCCAATCCACATCCCTTTGTCCCCTGTCCAGCCGCCCACTCCCTGTGATCTGAAGTCCCCACAGGATGCACCCCCAGAGGGGGCTCCTTGCTGTGCCCTCGGCTCCTGTGGGCTCAGCATAGGGGCGCCTGCCAGCTCTGCCCTGGAACCCCCGCCCGGGAGCAGGGGAGGCCCCTCCTGGCTCCCAGGACCTGCGCCTGTGCTCTGGATTCCTGAACACGCCTCTCTCCAGGATGGGCCTCAGTTGCTCCATCTGTGAAGTGGGCCCGAGTGTCTCAGGGCCCCTGCAGCTGTGGCGCTCTGTGAGTCTGTGTACAGGCAAGGTGGCATCTGTCTTTCCTGTCAGTCCCCACTCGGCTGGGCTGCGGCTTCCCCGGCCCTCGGTCCCCTTCCCTTCCCTGTCCCCTTCCCATCTCTGCCTTCACTGTCATGCCCGGGAGCCCTTCCTGTTCTGAGCCCCAGCTGCTCTCTGAGGTCCGTCTGCTGGCCGCCACCCCACCGTCGGCCACCTGGGCGTGCGGGCGCTGTGTCCTCACCAGTTACCTTACCAGACGGGACACTGAGGTGCCGAGGTGCCAGGGCTGGTGCACTGTGCTGGCCATGCTGGAGCCGGGCTGGGTCCCCGAGCCCATCCACTGCCACCACTCACCTGGAGATCCCCTGCCTCTAGGGGCCTGCTGGTGGCCTGGTGGGGCAGGGAGGGCCTCCCAGAGCCCCTCACCCCAGCCCGTGGGCCTGGCTTGGCCTGAACAGCCCCCCCAGACAGCCGCCAGTGACCCCTGTAGGTGGGACTGTCAGAGCAGAGGGGCCGTGACCCATGGCAACCCCTTTGGTGTGCGAGTGTCTGTGTGCACACGTGTATGTGTGTGTTCGTGCCTGTGTGACAAGGGCCGTTCTCAGGGCTGCACCTGCCGGATGCCCAGCAGGCTGGGGGTGGTTCACACCCTGGTCCGGGCCTTGGTTTCCAATGTGCGGTGTGGGGGTGCACGAGGGACCGCGGTGTAGCTTTTACAGCTGACCAGACGCCTGACCCCTGGACAAGTGTGGGGCAGGGGTCACTCACTGGCCTGTGGAAGACAGGGAAACCGCGGAACGGGGCCTGGTCACGCTGGCCCGGGGCCGGGCTCTGTGCCCCGGAGCTGCTCCGACCCCTGCCTGTCCTGGCACTCGGGGGCGAGCGGCTTCCTGGGGTCCCTGCGCAGGTCTGTCTGGCGTCCCGAGACGGGATGCATCCGTCCGTGGGCTGGGCACCTGTGCACACAGCCCACAGCTGCCTCCTGCCCTCCCTCCGCCTGCACGGCCCTGGCATGACGGGGACGCCCCTGCTGTTTGGGGATGTGGACCCCCGCGGACGCTGGGCTGCTGTTTCCATCGCGGGTGCTGCGTCTGCGCAAGAAAGAGGAACCGAGAGCAGAGGTGCCAGAAAGGGGTGCGGCCGAGCAGGGGAGCCCCATGCTGTGCCCGGCACTGCGAGGTCAGCCCATGGGCTTCCAAAATGTCCTGTGTCGGGGGGGACGTCCAGCCTGCCACCTCTGGCCTCATGCCAGTTGCCACAGGTGAGGCCGGCGGAGCCACGGGGACCACAGGGCTGGGAAAGATGCTGACCCCATGGGCAGAGGAGGCAAGAGCCTGCGAGGGCGTGGTCACAGCAGGCTGCGGGCAGGCTCGTGTCCAATCACTCGGTGTCCCTCCGCCACCTGTCACGCTGGCCAGAGGGAGACAGCACCTGTCGCATGACCTTGCAGTCTGGCTTTGCTGGTGTCCACCTGGGCACTTGGCCTGCTGACCACCTGTGGCAGATGGCCAGGGCCTGCTCAGTGCAGGTGGCTGGAGCCCGCCCTGGGGTCCTGACACTGTGCTTCGGTGCAGCCCCGCTGTGCTTCTGACGGTCGGACGGGGACTCGGGTTCTCAACGTCCAGTGCCTTCTCTGTGAAATGGGAGTGCCCCCCGAAGGTTTGGGGCAGATGCCATTAGCTTGTCAGGTCAGCTCAGGACTGGCTGGGGAGGCCTCTGAGGCCCTTCCAGGTGGGATTGCAACAGAATAGCAAGGACCCGGGGGCACTGGGGTGACCCCTGGAAGTCCTCCTTGAGATCGGGCCTCGGGCCTGCATGCTGCAGCCGGGAGGCACCTTCTTTGCGCTTCTGCTCCTGAGTGGGCCTGTGAACAATGAGATGCCAGGGAGCCCGGATTCAATTACACACCAGGTGTTATGTATAGGGCACGCCAGGAACCATTGATCCCTCGGGGTGACAGATCGGCTGTGAATTGGGTAATCGAGCAGCTTGTAAATAAGATATATTGGATTGCGCGGGCAGCCTGGCTGGGTATCGGCGTGAGGGGATGGGGCAGGTGTACGAGCAGGGAAGTCGTCTTTCGGGCGGATGGAGGGGCATCCACCCAGCACCTGGGCCCTGGGGGAGGCTGGGAAGTCCCGCTTCAGGAGGGCTGGGTATTCCAGGGACTTGCCACGGGTTGCTTGGGTCCCCTCCAGTGTCCCTCACAGCCAGGAGTCTGATGACCAGGGTGGGGCTCAGAGCACAGGCCTGAGCCACAGTGAAGATGCCCCGGACCCCCTGGGATCAAATTTCTCATCTCCTCGGCCCCTCACTCCGTTTCGTAGCCAAACATTTGACGAGGAATCCCACCAGTACATGGAAACTCTGGACCTGCTGGGGCCCGCCGGTCCCTGCCGAGGGTCTCTGTCCCCCAGGGAGGGCCCCGAGCACCACGGATGAGCCCCTTTGGTGGGGGACCCAGCTGGTGTTGGGCCCTGGCTCTTCACGGGGTTCAGTGACTAGATCTTCAGTCGGAATGAGTGATCTCAATGGCTGTTAGTGTTCTGTGTTAAAACCCCAGTGTGGAATAGCTTCAACATTCAGCATAAAACACCGTCACTGCTGGTAATGCAGCCGCCGAGACCCTGCTAGGGGCCTCAGCCCATCCGGTGGGCGGAGGCGGCGCTGCCCTGGCCCCGTCGGCAGGGCGGGGCTCCCTCCCCAAGTCCGGGAGCTCTGTGAGGAGAGCAGAGACTCCACGGGAGAAGAATGGAGTTGAGGTTTGCGGTTGGACGCGAAACTGTGGTGTCTGTTTCCTTGTTTTTTCTGTCACACGACCACCCGCTGAGTGACTCGGAGCAAAATAAATCCAAGGTGAGCGTCGGGCCGAAATCCAGGTGTCCGCAGAGCCGGTTCCTTCTAGAAGCTCCAGGAGAGAACGGCTCCGCCGTGTCCCATCTTCGTGTCCATTGCCACCTCTCCCGCCCACTCTGATCGCCTGCCTGTCCTGCAAAGGGACCCTGGTGGTAACCTTTCAGGGTGCCTAGATGAGCCATGGCAGCCGTGCCCTTGGCCGCCGGGATGCAGCACAGCCTGACAGCTGCTGTGGAGACGGACGTTGGGGAGGCCCACAGAGGGACGACCCCGCCACGGGTCCCCAGGGCCTGGTGCTGGGTCATCCCACAGCACGGGAGTGACGTCCTCTTCGTGAGGAACACCTGGGGCTGCCTTCTCCCTGGGCTGGCGGGAGGCACCAGGCTCCCTGTCACGGGCGGGGGGCACTGCCCTTTCCCTGTGCCCAGTACCCAGCCCTGTCACCCCTGCAGCCCCTGAGTGACCCTGGAATGGACATCAGGAACCGTACCTCCTCATCCAGGCCTGGGCAGGCTCTGGCCCCCACCTGACGCCTCCACATGCCACACCCTGTCACCCTGGAACTCTCCTGCAGCCCCTCCTCTTCGGCTCATGGCCTTGCACGTGCCTTGCACGCTGACTGTCCCTTTGATGTACAATTTCCGCACCCTCCCCTTTCCCATGGACAAATCCCTGTTCATGCTTCAAGATGTAGGTCTGGTGTCCCCTCTTCCAGGAAGACCTCTCTGATTTCACCTACCCTCTGTAGCTCCTGCTACCCCCGGTGTGTTCCCTGGGATCTGCAGCCCTTGCTGGTGGCCATCCCCCTGCCCAGGGCGGCTGCCTGACCTTTCCCTGGTGGGGCTTCCCTGCAAAGCGTGGGGCTGCAGGCACAGGACCTCCTGCTTGCTCAGCCCCATTATCCTGAGTGTCACTATGTTTCCTGTCACTCTCCCATCTTCTTGGAACAACTGCAGGGTTTGCAGAATCTGGAAAGAAAGCAGAGCACACCCCACACAGGGCACAGATCCGTGGTTCTGACGGTGTCGTTAAATGATAGGGTGGTTTGGTCACATCATGCAATGAGGTTCTGGGGAGCAGGCGGAGTCGGGCCCTTCCAGAGTCACGCCTGGGGGCTCCTTGAAGCTGTGGCAGTGGTGGGCTCAAACCCACATCTCCCACTTTGTGTCGGGAGGCCCGCGAACGATGGCCCGGCTGAAGGACTGGGGTCCCCCTTGCTTCCCGAGCTGGGTGGGCAGCCGAGTTCCTGGCCTGGAGTCACTGAGGGGTGCTGGGAAGCCTGGGGGAACGAGAGCCTGTCACAGGGAAGGGGCTGGGGGAGCCGAAGGGGAGGAGAGGCCGAGGGGGGAGCGAGAAGGGGGACGAACAGCGTTTAACGGAGGAATCAGCCGGGCTGGGCACTGGTGCCCCAGCGCCCGGCAGGACGGGGCTGCCCCGGCTCCTCCGCAGGGAACCTGGCTGCGTCCAGGTGGGGCAGCCCCGCCAAGGTGGATGCTGCACCGGGGCAACCACATCAAGCCAGGAGCACAGGGTGGGCAGCCCACGATGCCCCTGTGCCCTGGGGGGTGAGGTCACAGCCAGCCCACGTGGTCTGTGGGTGGTACACGCCACATTCCACCGAATCACAGCCAGAAACAACAGAACCAGGTCCATGCAACGTGATCTGCTCATTTCTCTGGCCACGTCCGTCCTCAGCGTC